AGCCGCTCTGTTCCTACGGGGGCGAACTAGTCTGGGCTTGTGTCCCATAGATGATACAATTTGCTGTAATACTCTCCGGCCAAACGCAGCATCCGAAGAGGCAAATTTGTCCAATTTATAATGTCTGACAAACGAGGAAGGTGAGGACCAAGTCGCTGCCTTGCATATCTTTTCGATGGATGCCTGTGTTGACCAAGCTGCTGATGTAGCTGCATTGCGAGTAGAATGGGCTGTGATATGGCCAGAGAGTCACTCAAGGCTGCAAGGTGTGATTGGGCTTTCCGGCATCCGAATCAGCTGGGATCGTTCGCTGACGGCGAAAACGACCCTCATCGAAGGGAGAGCCCTCCCAGACAGCCTGGAAGTTGAAAAAATGTCCAGGGAAGTCTGACAAGTTGGTAAATTTCACCAGAATTTTAGTAGTATCCAATAGTCCAAATTATATAGGGGAAAAAACAAAAATGGGAAAAAGTTTATAACTCACAGTGAATGATAGAGAATCCACGAGTAAATACTACCTAGCTGTTAAACCTAAAAGGAGCCAATTTTAAAGTGTCTTGCTGAGCGAAGACTAAGTCGAAAACTGGGTTAGTCTAGCCCAGCAGGAGGCGTGGCAACTTTCTAGACTTAGTCTCATCTGAGCAGGAAGGTTAAGACAACCCCCTTGTGGATTCTCCATCCATCGTGCTGGAGAATAGATATTAAAGGTTTTTCATTGGTGGTCTAGCAGTATTAGAAATTTGCTGATTAAGTTTATAGACCTAGTCCTGAGTGCATGGTTGGACTGCATTACTTAATAATTTCACTTTAGAGTGTATTGCCCCCAATACTTCTCTTAATTCATCCGTGGGATCTATTTGCCCCAAATCTGGCAATGCATCATTAGTCTTTGGGTCACTAAGCAATGCTGTCATTAAGCAAGTCATCAAGTGGCCAGATGTAATTTTATGACCATTTTTACCATGGTTGTTAAGCAAATGACATAGTGATTATGTGAATCACACATAATTGTTGTTAAACAATTTCAGCTTCCCCAATTGACTATGCTTATGTGAAGCTGGATAGGAAGGTTGCAAATTGTGATCACATGTCTGCAACATGCTGTAATCATCGTAATTGTGAGCTGGTTGCCAAGCATCTGAATTGCAATCATGTGAACATTGGAATGGTGTAAAAATTATAGCTTCAAGGATGGGCCATAAGTCATTTTTTCTGAGGCGGTCGTAAGTTTGAATGGTTATTCAGCAAATGGTTTTACGTCAAGAGGTGTGACTTACAACCTCAGCACATTCTCTAGCTAATTTAAGTTTGTTGGTTAAAGCTTTTCTTAAATCATTGCTGGTGAAAATGTTCTGAAGTTACATAGATTCAAGTTTTTACACTTGGATTTTAAAGTGGTGATACAAAACTGTTCTAAAAGCAGGCTAGATTTCTCTAAACCGAAGAAATATACTGTGAATATAGAGAAGATACTTAGGAAGAGCTTCATTTTGAAAAGTATGCAAGGGAGCGTTGATTGTTTAAATATTAGCAGAATTCATGTGCATCCTCTTCTAGATTGAAGCCCTTTTGGTGTGTAGCTTCCACCATTGACAGCTTACTCAAGTACAGAATAATTTCCTTTTGCAGTCCCATTCCCTTCTGTTCACTCCATAGTTGGAAATATGTGGAGTGATCTGATTGGTCTGCAAGTAATAAATGCACTTATCTCATATCTGCCTTTTTTCTGCTTGAGAGTTAATTCCTCCACATTTCTTTTTTTCCCTAGTAGATTCAGGAGTGGTGTCAGCTCTAAATTCTCTGCTAGCTGTCTCTTGCGTTTTAGTGTGAGAAGCAGGTGTCTTAACAGCTTCTTCTGTTTTATTTGGTGACCCTCAGTTTACTTTACAAAGTAGTTCCTTTGTAACTTCTTATTTTTGACTGAACACAAAATTTGGAAGGTCAAGGTAACCATTTGCGTTGCGAACAGGTATTGCCTAGTTATGAAGTCTTTTAGATTCTTCCCTTTTAAGTTCATATACAACCCATATTGTATAAGCAATGCAGATGCTGAACGAACAGCAAGTAGTCTGGGAGTGGGTAGTATCCTCTACCTGAATTGGAAGAAGAACGTTCTGTAAGCTGTTGATTCTCCATTTCTGTCTGTAGATCCCATTACAAAGAATTAGGTCATGTCGATCTGGAGAATACGTAGGATCAGAGTTACTTGCTAAAGTTGTAAAGTTTATTTATATTCATCCATTTTCTGCTGCTTCAAAGGCTTGGGTGATGTCTGTTATTCAGTGTACACTTTGTCTCTTCTTTCTTTTTCTCATTCTTGCTTCCTGTTTTATATCAGCCACCTCCCCCCCCCCAACATTCTGCTCTCTCCCTCCCCTCTTTTAGTCATAATTTATGGTTTTATATATGTATTTTTCTTGTTTTATTGCTTTTAATGTTGTAAGCCATCTAGAGTTGCCTCACAGCAAACAAACTAATTAATTAATTAAATATCCTTGCCACTTACATTAGAAAGTTGAAAAAAAATCTAGCAGTCCCTAGCTGCTTCTGAAGACTTCCCTTTTACTTCCCTATTCCTTTCATCATCTCAAGAGCTTCAGTCTCCTTAGCACAGTGTTTCTCAACCTTGACAATTTTAAGGCATGTGGACTTCAACTCCCAGAATTCCACAGCCAGCAATGCTGGCTGTGGAATTCTGGGAGTTGAAGTCCACATGCCTTAAAATTGTCAAGGTTGAGAAACACTGCCTTAGCACCTCTTAATATTTCAACTGTATCATTATGCATCCTTCTACAAGCATTCTGCTAAGCATGTTTGTCAAGAAATCTCCCCCACTGCTTGCTCCCCTCTGTAGGTTCATATAAGAAGTTGGATGTCAAGTTTATTGAACCATTTTCTATAATTGTACAGTTTAGTCCCATGACCTTTCACTTGCAGTTTTCAGTCACACTGAAAATACATCCAATCTTAGGAGACCATTTCTTCTTGCATAATAGAACATTGTGTCTTCCTCCTTCCCTTTTTACATTACAGCTCCTCTGTCTCCTTCCCATTTGGTGGGGAGAAGCTAAATATATCTTGGACTTTTTATGTCAGTAGAGCAGATTGGAATATTTGATTCATTGAGAGGCTATTCAGACCTTGACAAATGAGAGATGACATTTGTTTGTTATGAATGCTTTGATAGTTCTAATTGCAATAGCTTTCTATGTCCAGGTTGCATGACTGGCTGCACAATCAGGCTCCAGCAGTATTCTTGTTTGGAAAGCCCAAGGGTGATACATGTATGAATATCATCCTAATGATAAGCGATTGCCCAACTGAAGATGAGAGAGATGGTTCCAGAATGGAGATAGTTCTTGAAGAAGTAGAAGAGATGGAAACACCTTCTTCCTGCTGTCCTGTGTATTCTACTGATGAAGAAAGGGGAGGAGGCAGGAATTCTAGAAAATTATTTTTTCTTTCTAGTGGCCCAATCTGAGTTTTTACACCTTCTATTCGTGAGAGTTAAGTCTGTGATTTAATAAAAGTAGTAAAAAAAATAGTTGTGATCACTTTTTAGTGAATCTACTAGCCATGCTATCTTTCCATTGTCATACTTGGAACAATTACTATTATCTTCCATTAGATTCAATATCTATTATTAAAATTTCCAGTCTCATGACCCTGGCCAAACTACAGATGATAGAGCCTGAATTTGCTCTCTAATGTCAGTTGTCATAACAAGAAGGCAAATATGGATTTACATCCTGATGTAGATATAACTTGATTAATTCATACATATTTGCTGATTTAATGTAAAATACGCTGAAATCAGATATACTTAAAATGTTGCATATAATAGGTATTAAGATTCAAATATTTGGGTTCAACTTGTCATTTTCAATTGCAGAAATTAAATGCTATGATATATCTATGTATGGGTTGACAAAATAGATAGAATCTAAAACTATAGTAATAATTATAACTCACGCTTAAATTATCAATTCTAAAATACTTGATATTTTTAAAAATCATGCTGCTGCTATAGAAAACAATACAGATATCAGTGGTTAATGACCATTGGTTCAGTTAATAACAGTGCTGAATGAATGGTAAGTACAACACAATCACATTATCAAAATTTGGGCACTTAGTAGTCTGTCCATATTTATGACTGCAATGTGTACTTCAGCTCCCCATGCATATCTATCTTCCCCAGCCCAAATCTCTACCTTTTTGGTCACCCTGTACTCTGCCGGCTACCCTTGCTCCACCCCCCTTCCACTGCTGACAAAACCCGCCCAACCAAAGCAACTCCTAATCACTTCACGAGGCCCTCACTCAGCCTTCCCATAGCATCTTGCTTAACAGCTTATACCTTTGAAGTATCAAATTCATTAAGTGTCATATAAACTTTATTAACTCTAAATAGTTAAATTTCTATCAAATTATACTTAACTATATTATTTCAGACCCCTTCTATGATTCCATGACAACATACATTCATATTATATCTGTATCCAATGATGCTAACTTGGGGCTAAGTTCAATAAATTTATAGACGGAGAACATTTTAATGGGGGAGGTTTGGACATTATCGTATATGTTTCCTGTGGCTCTTGAAGAGATTGTTCCTTTAAAGTTTTATTTATTTATTTAAGCAATGTTTACAGCTCTTGAACCTCATAGGAGTTTCTAAATGTGCGCCTGATATAGCATTTGTTTATTTAACCATTTTTATACCTCACCATTTTGGGAATGATACTTTTTCCATTCTTCAGTTACAATGCAGTGTTTCCATTGGTATATTGTACGAAATATAGGCCAGGCGGGCATAACTATTAAGCAAAATTTTCATAATGGGAACCAATCCATTCATGCCCCTCATTCTTCATTGATAGCAGTGAATTTTTCAAAATGTACATTATACACACTGATTCATTCATAACACTGTAAACTTTGCTACTTGCTAAAAACAAATAATACATATTTCTTCATTTTTTTTTTTTGTTTGGTAGATTCTGGACAATCAGAAAGTCCAAGCCACAATGATCCTGCCAAGAACCCACCAGGTAAAAATGAATTTTGGGCCTGTTGTAGTTGCATGTTGTTTGAGAGCAGATTGTGTTATTCATAAATACTTTGTTTTCATAACACATTTATCTATGGTAAACTTAAACACAATTGCACCCAATCTTCTTAGTTGTCATGACATGGTAAACCAAAAACTAAAAGTAAACACAACACCTGCTTTCACATATCATGCTAGGCCAAAATATAGTTAGCTACTATATTTGATCCATGTGATCTCCAACAATATATGTCATTGATTAGCAATGTATAGTGCAGAGGTGTCAAACTGCCGGCCCGCAGGCCAATTTCATCATACCGGAGCCGCGGCCACCCCATTGCCAGCAATAGCGAAAAAGCTCCGATACGTCACGCGACGTCATGTGACGTCGCAAGTTTGACATGCCTGGTATAGTGGGATTAGGTTAAACAATAGATTTATTAATTGTTATGAAGTGGAAATAAGGAGCTGACTCAGTTTATAATATTAATACATAATTGTTCACTGATTGTCAAAAGTTATGGCAGCACTGAAAAACAGGATGTTTTTCATGAGATTGCAATGGCTGGAACTTCAGGGACTGCATCAATTTGTTTTTTACTCCATGGAATATAATAATTCCATTTTACCTTGCATTGGTCATTCTGAATATTGTATCCAGTTCAGAGAATGCTTGACTAGTTCTTCCATGGTCACAGGATTGCAATTCAGGCATACAGGTGCCCAGCTCATGATAATGTTGTAGGCAATTGTGATCATCATTTGTGGGATTACTTGCTGGCTTTCCACAAACAAAGTCAATAGGGAAGCCAGCAGGTAAATTTGTAAGTTGGTCCCATGCATAGCCTTTCCCTGCCCATGCTCTCCGGGCCCCTCTCATTCCCCCCCCCCCAGGGTACCTTCATACTCCTTATCTTGGACTTCCACTATTTCCTGTATGGCAACCTGCATGTCTTAGGGCAGGGGTCCCAAACCCAATCTGTGGACCAGTACCTATCCGCGGCATGCCAGCAACCAGTCCGCACAAATAAGCAAATCCCCATCTGTGGGATGCAGGCAGCATACAAAACCACACACTCTCCAGTCCGCGGAAAAACCTTTCTCCACGGAATCGGTCCCTGGTGCCCAAAAGGTTGGGGACCTCTGTCTTAGGGTTAAGATACAACCAGGACTGCCAGGAGTGCTGTTGCTAAGTGATGTAGTCACATGATGTCATACTTTACAATTGCATCATTTAGCAACGGCAATACCAGTCCCAACTGCTGTCGTAACCTGAGGACTACTTGTATAAAGATTTTATGAATATTTTGGGTTACCTTAGATTTCTAGAAAAGGATTTTGTATTCTACTTTAGACTTTTGCTATTTGAGTCATTAAACATTTGATAACGTAGAGCGAACTATAATGGACACATTCATAAAATTATTATTAACTGCTTATTTACAGAATAATTGTCAGAATGGCCATAGTTGTAAAATACATTAGTATTACAGATGTTATCATTCTGCAAATGAATATTTAAAAAGCTAACACATTGTTTTGCAGCTTGCCAATAAAATAAGTTAGTAGAACAGATTTCATAGTAGTGTCTTGGTGAACATTGGCAGCCTCTGAGCTACCAATGCTTTTTTAAATTGCTCTAAAATTGTATTTCAGTTTTGATACATCCATTTCTTGTGAAGTATGAAATTCTGAGATTTATATTGCCTGAAGAAGAAATGCATGAATATAAAACACTATATGCCCACTGGTCTATTTTAATAAATCTGCAGGACTCATAATAAAGATACTTTTATAGCAATCTTTAATCCAGACTCAGAATGTAGAGTCCAGGATGTTGCATGCAAAATTACTAGAGTTTTGGAATGTCATCATTTTTGCAAGAGCTTTGCCAAGAAGGGGGAAAAATCCCTGCAAACTGCAATCTTTGGCAAAGCTACTGGCAGTGGAAATTAGTTCCTCTATATTTGGCTAGACAGTTGCATTCTTTAGGGTGTCTGGTAATTTGCCTTCTTAACTAGAGGAAAGGCGAGATGTTTTTGCCAAATAAAAAAGCATTAACAACTATTGCAAAAGAAATCATAGTTTATTTTGAAAAGATATTAATATGTTTGTAATACTAATGCAGGCTTACATAGCAAATTTGACAACTCAATTTATGAGCCTTATCATTTGGTTATCACTACCTTCAATACCATTGGCCTAAAATTATGCTCTACTTTCAGTTAATTATTTTAAATTCAGACTTAGTAATCTAACTTTACAATACTGAAAATTATATTATATAGTCTTAAAATGGTACAGAGTGCTGGATATAAAGTATCCATTTCAGTACATGTAAGATTTCCTTAGCATTAACATGTGGGGACTGTGCAAACTGAGGACAACTGATATTAGTTCAAATAAGTTGTATACCATGATTTTAAAAGGTTCCTGTTATTGTAGTAGTAAGGAATGTGATGGCTCAGCAGTTAAAGATGCTGAACTTGTCAGCTGGAAAGCTGAAAGCCCAGGTTGAGACTGAGCGCCGTGTAATGGAATGAGTTCTCGTTCCTGCCCCAGCTCCTGCCCACCAAGCAGTTCAAATGCATGTAAATGTGAGTAGATTAATAGGTACCACCTAAATGGCAAGGTAACAGCATTCCGTGCACCTTTAATTTCTAGCTATGCTGGCCACATGACCACGAAAAATGTCTTCAGACAACGCCAACTCCCTTGGCCAAAAAACAGAGATGAGCACTGTGCCCTAGAGTCAGATATGACTGGAAAGGGAAATCTGTATCTTTTTTATTACTGCAATAAAACCAAAAGCATGAAAAACAATACATGTACACCTGGTGTTTACCGATGTGTTTTAAGGATGTGAATTGCCTTTAGCTTATCAACTGGCAGTGAAAATTATTTTATAGATAGTAACTCATAATTGGGATCATAATTGGGATTGGAATTTCCATTACTAAGCAATATAGTTGATTGCTAAAAATGTTTAGTTAGGCTAAGATAAAAGTAAAGATGATATAAGCCCTATAAAACCAATATTCCTGACAAGAGCTTGCAGTCCTAAGGATTATTCAGGTTTATTCACCCATCTCTTAATGAGCAGGACCAGACCTGGAAGAAAGGTTTCTTTCCACAGTTGAAACTTGAGATCAGAGTGATTATCCCAAACTGTTCTTAATCTTCATAATTTGGTCAAATCCAATTATTTGTTTTATCTTTGAACATATTATATACAAGTAGAAATCACAGCAAACTTTTGCCTCTTTCTTCAGTTGCCAGATTTGGAAAAAAGCACTAGAAGTCAATGGAACACCACTAACTTTTACTGATGTCCAACAGCAGTAGACTGTTGGGACTATGATTACTAAGACTTGTATCCTAATTCTAATTCTATTAATTCTGAAATTAATAACCTGATATCATTGAATAAGGAAGAACATGTTAAGATATGACAAATAAAAGACAATGCTATTCACCTCCAAGAAAAGAACTGACATGTTTTATAGGATTGGAAATTGGAATAAGACAAATTGCACTATAGGATACTGAAAGAATCAGCTGATGATTTGGTAAAATCCTGGGTTTTGAGAATTCTTTGGAGAATTGATGATGGACCACATGACTAGAAGAGAGGAAACACTGATTCTGTCTTCAAAATGTAGAGAAGAAACTTAGAGAAAAAAGATCCAGGAAACTACAGAGCAGTTAGTGTAGCAGTTATACCTTGGCTATTCCAGAGCAGATTGTAAAGTGATTGGTCAGTAAGCACTTTGAAACAGAATTATAATTACCTGAAGTTGGCCACTTAGGAACAAATCTTGCTTAGACTAATCTTGTTTCATTTTTTAATTGTATAACTTCTTTAATTGCTAATGGATATCCTATATATATGTCTCTTGACTTAAACTACCCTACAACATGGTGATTAGCAATCTAATTATATCAGAGCTAGATAGCATGACAACTGTGCCACAAGAATCAGTCATGAATTCTCTACTATTTGATATTTTCATTCATTCATTGTTTGTATGAAGAAGTATAAGGAATCCTACTCATGTTTTTGTAAATGGTATAAAATTGAACAAAATAACTAAAACCTTAGACTGGAGTTTTCAAAGTTGTGATCTCAGTCCTTGGAAAATATACAGATATTGGTTTTCTTTCTGTCTTGACCAAAGTGACAGCATTTTCACTAATGCTCTTGTAGGAGGCCACAAAGGATTGATTTGTTTGTTTTTCTCCTTTGACTTTCCTCTGAAGCCATTGCTAAGAGCAATAGGTGCAATTGGAATCGTCAGAGGAGAAAAGGGGGAGCTTTTATCTGAAGCCTACAGCCAAGTGTTGGTGATTGGGTGACATTAATTTTAAAAGCCTTCTATCGCACATGGATAGAAGCACGTCTGCTATTTTGTGGGTGTACAAGGTGGAGATCACAGTTGCAGGAAACTATAGATCAGAATTATCATCTGAATGTTTATATTTTGTTCCTTAAATACCCTCTTATTTCTACTTTGAATATGGATAAATAATTGAAAAAGTGTTTAGTAGATGTTTTTCTATGAAAGAGTGAAAAGTGCACTTTCTACGTGTGTCACAATTAAAACTTTGCATTGGTTTCATGTGAAATTTCCCAAATAGTTGAGACACCTTATCTGTTCGTAACTGACAAAAAGTTAATAATTCTGCATTAAACATTATGAAATTCCAGATTTATGTAAGAAAACAAGCATATCAGTTGGGTCTTAAAAATCCATGAAATATAGAATTGAATACATAGTGAAAATATTAAGAAACTCAGATATATCATACAGAATATCATTACAAGTAAATGAATGCATTTATGTAGAGGACATTGCCAAATAATATTTTGACCAACAAGTACAACTACTGGTGAAATGTTTAAGCTAATGAATTATTGTATTATTCAAAATTATATTCACTGGAAATATATTGATCTGAGCAAATATGAGCAGTGCAGTATTTCTCACTGGGATTAACCCACCAGAGTGAGCAGAAGTGGCAGGATATTTATGGCTGATTTGTAGCATTTACAGATTTATCTTCAGTCAAGATCAGAATACAGCTGGAAGGGACCTTTGAGGTCTTTTAGTCCAATCCCCTGATCAAGCAGCAGAACTTATACCATTTCAGACAAGTGACTATCCAGTCTCTTCTTAAAAACCTCTAGTGATGAAGCACCCACAACATCTGAAGGCCAGCTGTTCCACTGGTTAATTGTCCTGCTGTTAGGAAGTTTCTTCTTAATTCCAGGTTGCTTCTCTCCTTGATTAGTTTCCATCCATTGTTTCTTGTCCTGCCTTCTGGTGCTTTGGAAAATAAATTGACCCGCTCCTCTTTGTGGCAGCCACTCAAATACTGGAATGCTGCTATCCTGTCCCCTCTAGTCCTTCTTTTCTCTAGATTAGCCAAACCCAAATCCTGCAATGGTTCTTCATATGTTTTAGTCCTTTAGCCCTTTAATCATCTTAGTTCCTCTTTTTTGTACTTTTCCCATCATTTATGAGCAAGTTAGAAAAGCTGGTCTTAATAGAACTTGGAAAGATCTTATTTTCTTCTATTGCAGAAAAAAGGTTCGTATGTACTTACTTTTTATTTTCTGCTTTTTAAACCAGTTAATAATCCATAAAGTGTCAAGTCCTTTTATCCAGCACTACTCAGTTTATTCAAGAATGCTTTATGAAAGATGGTTTTAAAGGCTTTTTATAAAACCAAATATACATGTTGATAGGATCCATTCCCATACCTCTTGACACTTTAAAAATATTGCAAAAGATTTGTAAAGCCAGAATTACTTTCACAGAATCTATGGATTATCTTATTCCAGCAAGGTTTGATCTTCTACAGGTTAGTTATTTTTATTTAATTATATTTTCCATCAGTTTGCCCTGAATCAGTGTTAAATCCAATTTTTCAGAATGAACATTAAACTGATTCTAACCAATAATTTTCGGATCGCCCCTGTGTCTTCTTAAAATTGGCACAGTACTTGACTTTCGCAGCAATGTAAAAGATGTGCCATGGTTTTGCAAAGAATTCAGCAATCTCACCCTTGACTGTTTAAAGATCTCTCAGATGGGTGCCCTCAGAATCTGCTCCTTTTTAATTATATAGTTTCTCTTTTTACTTCAGTTTGCTTAATTTCTGATTTACTCCCTGAGAAAATATTTGCTCTGTATTAGGTATTTGATCTATATCTTCTGTACCAAAGACAAATGCTAAATATTTGTTTTTTTTCCTACAATATCTGAATCTTTCTCTTGAGCATGTCTTTCCCTCTTTCCTATGTAATTTCAGGGTTATAATCCTATTTCTGCAGGAGAGGAAGAATTTAGAAAAAGAGAATTAGTATTTACTTCAATATCATAGCAATTCAGTATTTTTTCAATGATTTTTAAATCATTATGTCAAGCCATTGATGATTTAAATATCTTTAAGTATTTAGAGGAAAATGAGAAAGTAATATGCATGGGCATAGTTTTATTTATATAGTTGCAAATACTAGACAATGAAAAGTAAGTATTTCACTAATAAACTATCTTTACACAAGCTACCATGTATTTTCTTTTTTGGTTGCAGAATGTGTATTATGTATTCAGGCTTTGGAGTTATAATTTGGGATATAATCAGATGGAAAAAATCAGGTTTTTAACCATTAGTTTGTGTTTTTTAATGCAAGTGTGGCCATCAGGTACTTCTATTCACAGAGTATGTTATGACAACTTGCTCCAAACCTGTCTCCTTAAAGATGGGTGCACACAGGACTTGGGTCTTTGCCCAGTATTCACAGTGACACCAGTTTTATAATTGTAGTATTAAAGTAGGGGTTTTCACACCTCCTAAAAAAAGAAGAATGCAATTAACCTCTCGTAGTTCTTTGCTGTATAGACACAGAAGCATCTTATTTGATTGACCCTCTGATTATAATAAATTATATTGTTCAGATTTTTGCAGGAAGCGTCTTTTCCAGGAGGATTCTGGTAGATTCTTAGGTTAGAAATGGCAATAAGTAGTGGGTTATATTATTTCTCATGACATCATCTCTAGAATAAAACAAGGCTTTAGTCAGTTACACTGTATTATAGATTTAAATGCTGAAATACCTGACCATTTGAAATAATGTATGTAGGTTTTTCATGTAGATATTTTAACAAGAGCATTATCTTCTATTGGAAGAACACACTTATCTTTTATTGTCTCCACACCAGATCATGCCAGGCAGTAAATATTGTCTGTTATCATCACAAAGATGGAAGTCAACTACTTTATATGTCACAGCAGATTTATTATTAGTTTGCATCACTAAATTCTTTCAGCAATAGAACAAATTAAAAATACTTTTGGAACCTAACTTATAGAATTGAATGTTTGGAATTATATACAAAATGCCAACTAATTAATATTGTATTATTTCAATTTAAGGCTTATACTCATTTAATTTTTCAAACAGTATTTTACATCTTCTGAATGTTTCATATTTAATTTTATTCTCAGTATTTACTTTTTTAAGAAAAATTGGTTTTTTTCATGCCTCTGTGTGATTAAACAACTCTTGAGTTCACCAAATAAAAATAAGAATGTTCTGTGGAGCTACTTTATTTTCCTGACTTTATAATGTGTAAAATCTATGTGAAATATAGACATTTCTTTTTCAGTGCTTGGAAAGGTGTCTAAGGGAAAGGGAAGATTATAAATTAATGTATACTACTAGAAGAAGTAAACAGCTACTTTCTTAATGGTTTATTTTCCTTTTCTTCTACTGTTCTTCAAACTGTAATAGTTGAAGGTAACTACGGAATCAGGCATTTTCCTGCTATTTGTGCCACTTATAAATCCTGTACTGCTTTCTTATAGCTGTTGCTTAAACAGAAGAATCCTATGCTAAAAGAGCTTATTTTCACAGTTGCCTCTTTCCTGGCTTATTTTTTGGCATAGGTTCATGAGATAACTTAAAAATAAAGAAAAACCTGTGACACTGTGTGATAATTTGCTCCACATTTTGTTCAGTTTGGCATTTCAATTCAACTAAATAAGATGGCATTTTGTTAGGACAAGAAGGATGTTACAATCTGAATTGTATTTGAACGCATTAACGTCTGTATCATGGGATGACATACCAGTCACATTATATCTTATGTTACATTGTCCTGTTTTTGGAACCCATTTTGCATCCATATAGATGGCTACAATCTTTTCAAATTGTACAAAAACTACAAATCAAGATTATAGAAAATCCTATAAAATGTATATTTAGACAATTTTAATAGAATTTGAATGAAGTATTCAGCCATGAAAGGGTTATTTAAGAAAAATATTATATTTGCTATTCCAAATGAACTAATCATTATTTTATTTTTGTTTTATTTTTTCATTCCAGTATATCTTGAGGATAGTTTTGTAAAATCTGGAGTCTTTAATGTATCTGAACTTGTGCGGGTGTCTAGAAGTAAGTCTCCTTTTCATTTTCTGAAGTTTTATTTTATTTTTGGATTTGTATTACATTGTATTTGTATATGTTGCTACATGATTCTTTCCAGAGTTGATTCTTTATGATAGTGCCTCCAGTTACATAACTGATAATACAGATAGTCCTTATTTACCAACCACTCATTCAGCAACCAATTGAAGTTACAGCAGTGCGGGAAAAAAGGAAAATTTGTGATCAATTCTTGATGTTGCATCTGTTGCAGTGCCCCGCAGTCACACGATTGTAATTCATGTGCTTAGCAACCAACACATATTTATGATGGTTGCAGTGTTCCAAAATACATTTTTTATTTCACAAAACAAAGGTTTGAACTCCATTATTGCCTACAGATTATATGAGTATTTTGACTTGATATGTGTGAGAAGTGGAGAACATACAGAACTAGTTAATAGGGTTATGCAAAGCTTCATAGGAATGTTATCCTGTGGGAAACCTTTGAGAAAACCACTTCCCTCAAAGGTATGTTGTGAAGCATTGTGACCTTCTGCATTTAGGAATGGTCTCTAAAACTGATGCCCTGGAAGAGGACTGAGAGGAGCTTTCTCTGACAATATTGATTTGAGTCATTCTGGGTATCCTTGGGGTGAACACCGCAAGCTATCCTGTGGTGTGTGCCAAAGCCTCCAGATCATTTGCTAAACAATTTGGGCAAGTAGTTGAAAGAGGTTCTGTTCGTGTCTGTCAAAACTCTCAATTCATACCCCTGTTTGAAAGGTAGCTTAAAGAGGCCAGAGGCACAAAGAGTCAAAAACTTTCTTTGGGGAATATTGGAAGCAGATTGAAAAGAACCTTCTCCTGGAGAGTTAGCTGAAATAAGACTCCCATCAGCCTTCTTCCATGGGACTGGTATGAAACAGTTTGAGAGGGAAGCAAATCCAATCGCTTCCACAGCCCAGATTGCTTTGTTGAAACAAATCTATGCTGCTTTGCATAGGTCTATGAATCAATTGTGTCTTTGTCTAGCACAGTCTTCCCTAATATATTTCCCTATGATTTATTGGACTTTAGTACATCTTATCCATTTTCACTTGGCCTTGCATGCTGAGGTGGGAGGGAAGGCTTGTCCCATGCCCCTAAATAGTACAAATTGTGTTTTTTAATTACATGACTAATAATTAGATAAAAGTGAATTTGCTTTGATTTAAGATTATATTAAATATGTCTGTTTAGACACAGGCTTGACTTTTAATTATGTCTTTAGCACCTATAACCCAGGGAGCTGGAGTAAACTTCCCCATTGGAGAACTTCCAGGTCAACCATACTATCATGACATGAACTCAAGTGTTAACTTACAGCGATCGCTATCCTCTCCACCAACCAGGTTAGCCTATTGTAAAATGTCTGTGGTTCTATAATATTTTAAATGATTTTACTTTGCAGCTTTTCAATAAAATAATTATGCATTTGTCCAGCAATATGGTCTGTGTTGGAGGGAGGGAGGGAAGCACCTTAATGGAACAAAAAGATAAGTTGATACATATTGATCAACACTTCTCAATAAGTAATTTCAAATGACAGTTTTGTAATGAAAATGATTATTGTTCAGAGTAGAAATTATGCCCCAGAATGAAAACATTGAGAGAAAACCTGTAGTTCTCAAACTAGTGAGAATTGTTAATATCAGCATGGACAGGTGTCTCAGTTTATTATCTGTTGATTCAGAAAGGCAGGGAAGAGACTTAGAATTAACACTGTTTATCATAGACCTGAAAGATTGAGGGCAATAGAAGAAGGGGACGACATAAAATGAAGTGGCTGGATTGAGTCACTGAAGCAGTAGGCGTGAGCTTAAATGGACTCTAGAAGATGGTAGAGGACAGGAAGGCCTGGAGGAACATTGTCCATGGGGCCGCAATGGGTCAGACATGACTTCGCAACTAACAACAACAATCATAGACCTACATACAGGATTTTATGCCTGTATATTTTTATAGGCTGGTGTTTGCGCACGCGTGTAGCTTCATTTTTGACTCTGGAATTAATTTGACTGTGCTGGGTATGTAAGTCTTCTGCTGACAAGCCAGTTCTTGAAGAAGGCCTGTTAGAGTCCTAACTCTCTACATGCCTAATCTAAAAACAATCACTAATGTATTAATAAAAAAAATGTGTACAGTATAAATAATTTTAAAATCAGTGTAAAATGTGAATATATCTAGTGTAGTTTTAGAGTTGAAAAGGATTGTACTTTGAAATATCAACATAACTACTGCTTAAATAAACCCTTATTTCTATATGTTTACAGTAAGAGACCCAAAACTATATCCATAGATGAGAATATGGAACCAAGTCCAACAGGAGATTTTTATCCTTCCCCAAATTCACCAGCTGCTGGTAGTAGGACATGGCATGAAAGAGATCAAGGTGAGTAAATACATACTATAGAAAAGTGAGTGCTCAGTTCATTCTGTGTCTATTCAGAAGTAAGCTATATTGAATTCAATTAGGTTTATTCATAGATAGATAGACAGACAAGACAGGATTTTGGAGCTCTTATTAACATTATTTCTTCAGAAACTATGAATAGATGGTAGATTGGAATAAATAAGAAAATTTTAAATCTTTTGAGGTTAAAATACTTCCTTAGAATATTACATTCTGTAGTAATTACAATGTCATCTCTATTATTGAAAAGTTCTATTTTGTGTTCATCAAATGCACGGATTCCTTTTTCAAAGCCATAGTACTCATTTAGAGTCACAAGAAGTATGTAATAGTTGATTTACTGGCAGGCAAAATGTAGAGACACTATACTGATTAGCAGAATCTAGAAAGATTAAAAAATGATTGAATAAATTATTGGACTTCAGATATACTGTAAAAGAGGATGATTAATTTTGACATTTTTTTCTGGCCATGTTGCTATGCATTTAATACTCACATGAAATTATTTATTTCTATCCATTGGTTCATATGTGCTTTGTGTGACTAAAATCTGAAATATAAATGAAAAGTACCCTGTTTTACAGAGGCATACATGCATTGTTAAGTCTGAAGTAAATTTTATCTAAATGAGTACACAATCACATCTACAATATCTTAATATTGTACAGCCATGGATTGTATTTCACAACTATATTAAATTGAAGAGGAAAATTAAGCATAAGTAGTGAATGGAAGTGATTATTTCTTAGCTTTCACAATGCTTCCTGTAGTTCTATTCATATTATATAATAGTATTGCTTAATAATTTTGAAGCTCTGTGATGTGTGACAGAAATTTCCAAAGTTTATTAAAATATATAGTAAAAGATCTGATAGAATATCACATTAAAAGAATCATCAGTTTTCAGGAGTTTATTTCCCTTTTCTCATAACGTTTATATCTACAACCATTTACCTACTCCCTAATTTCTAATTTATGCATCAACATAATTATGCCAATTTCATATAGGTCATAAATTTCTATCTAATTTCTTCCTAATATAACACTCAAAACATTATTTTTGTAAGACTCATGATGCTATATAAAGTTCTCAATTTAACCTTGATACCTGTACACTTTCTATTGTAGTTGTTTTCTTCCTTTTCTTTTTCTGTTCTTTGAACGGAATTCTTAAAATTGAGACCTTTTTCTCTTTTTTTGCAAAATAAAAATGTACAAGTGTTGTGATGAAGAAAAATGAAATGAAACATTTCAGTGTATGCAGTTATGAAGTTGATACCAAAAACCTTGCATTGTATGTTTATTTTTGTATTTTTCAGTGTAAAGTAAATCCCCCCAAATAATTGACTTGTGTTGGTTTCTAAAAGTGTTATTTGTGATTTGTTATTCTTGTTTTTACGAATAGGTTTTGGAATTCAGATAGTTCAGAAATGAGATCTGGAATGTTGCTTAAAATTGTGTATAACTTATCTACTTTTCTGTTGCTCTTGCCATGTGTAGAAAGGATTGCCTTTACCAGGAGCCATCACAGATATTTAAAGGAGGAACTTAGAAAGCAATTTCCATGTTCTAGGTTAAAAGCAAAACTGCAGTCACATTTGTACAAATTACTTCTGTACATGGTGTGGATCAAATTATATAAGCACAGTGTCTACTCTGAAGGAGACATGACATTTATACAGAGTCTAATTGTCAAAATTGAATGTGCCGATAGGTTAAAAGTTTGCAGTGGTCTCTGCATAGTTCTAGTTGTGGAGTGTAGAGATCTGTGGTGCTTAAGCTTTGGTAACCTTCAGTTAAGACGAAAAATGTGTCTGAGTTTTTTCATGAATGTGACAGGCCATAAAAGGCTTAGATTGTTTCAAATACAAACTTATTTTTTTCACAATTTTAGTTCTTCTAGTTTGCCTTTTTTAATTTTACTTTTTCTGATTGATACTTAATATTATTTTAAACGATCTTTTGGGTTGGTATCAATTTATTTATAATAAAAATAGTGAAGTTGGAAGGGACCTTGGAGGTCATCTAGTCCAACCCCCTGCTCAGGCAGGAAACCCTATACCATTTCGGACAAATGGCTGTCCAGTTTCTTCTTAAAAACTTCCAGTGTTGGCGCATTTACCGCTTCTGGAGGCAGGTTGTTCCACTGGTTAATTGTTCTGTCAGGAAGTTTCTCCTTAGTTCTAGGTTGCTTCTCTCTTTGCTTAGTTTCCACCAGTTGCTCCTTGTCCTGCCTTCAGGTGCCTTGGAAAATAGCTTGACTCCCTCTTCTTTGTGGCAGCCCCTGAGATATTGAAACACTGCTATCATGTCCCCCCTCGTCCTTCTCTTCATTAAACTAGATATTATATTTTATATAATCATTACTATGCTTTGTGCATGGTCAATTAATGTATTCCTTTTTTTTGTATCTATATTCAGTTTTTGATATTTTTCACGCCACTTTATCTTTCTTATATCAAAATGCATATGATTCTCTTGATGTGCTTTAGTAACAAGTGCATTCATTGTCAATTAGCCTGCCAGAATAGTATCCGAAAGGCATTGACACATGTCTTTCTAGCTTTTCTCAAATGAAAACCACTTGCTCCAGACAGCATGAGTTATTTATCAGAGTAATTATTCTGTTATTGGAGTAGTTTTTTTCCTGGCAGTAATTTTGTAATTAAGAGGCAAATGCCTTTGCACCATGATTAGATATGTTTGAGGTTTCCTTTTGTGGAACTTCAGCACAAATATGATTTTGATGTTCTGAGTTGGTAAGTACTAAGGCCTGATGCAATTTGTCCTAGAATCATGGTATCTTCAGGGGATCTTCTTAACTAGTTACGTATCTTGCCAGCTTCTCAGTTTGGGCTACTGGGGGCTTTGGTTTGCTTTCCTCCAATCTCAGATATAAGGGTAGGAAGAAGCTGCACTTACGAAAGGTGTCCATGTGGGAGGAGTTGGTGTCATTATTAAGGAAAAGGAAGAAACTGTTACTAAATTGCTGCTTTCATAAATTTCTGAGGCTAGTGGAAGAAGATGAGTTATTTGTTAACCTCAGTTCCCTTCATGCAGTGCCATAAAAGTATGGTTATGCAATAACAATAGACACAGCTTTTCTAAAAGGTTCCTGAAATTCAGCTGCACCTGAGATCTTTGCTCCACAAATATGAATTTGCAGAACCACAATTATTGGTAAGTAGTTACTTTTTTAACAACAAGAAAAGATGATATTTTTAGTGTCAATTAAGAAAAGGGGAAATTGTGTGGGTTTTAAATATTATACATTAAGAGTTTCACCTTTGAAGAAATGAAGGTTATCCTAAATAACAGATTCTGAGTTTTAGTCTATAAATAGTCAGAATAGTACTGTTTATGTACAATAGAAGTATCAACACATTTGAGAGTTTGAAGGTTTGTTAAATTATGTAAAAAAAACAAGGTTAGAGACAAATAAAATTAAGTTGAAGATTTCAGAGCATTATAATAAACACTGAGCATATTTGTTGATGGTTGAAATGTGACTGATTATTGAGGGGGAAAGAGTATCTTCAAAACTGCAGCACTTTGTCCTGCAATGTTTTGTTGTAATTCCTGCTTGTTTATTTCTCTTAGGCACATTTTATTGCAAAAGACTGTTATATTCATCAATTAGTTAATTCATCAATTAGTTGCTCCCTGAGTTAGCTAATTTGGAATCTAATTTTAAAATTGTGTATGGTTTAAGATTAAGTCATGTTCTTGGTATAAACCTGTATCTGAATTGTTCAAAAATTACTCTAGTTTTTTTGCAGTTAATTTTAGTTAATAGAGATTGTAAATATCCCTGATAGTTTTAGACCTAGGGAAAAAAGATAAGAATTTACTCAGAATAAGAATCTTACAGTAATAATATGATTTGAAATAATCGAGATTAGTAGACCAATCGAATATCAGGACATCCTATAATGGCATCAGAGTTTTTCATGGCTTATGAATTAAAATCACTTGTCATTTAAGTGAAAATGTAGCTACTCCATTCTATTTTGCTTATAGCAGTTAATCCTTTTCCCTCTAAATATGGACACTAAACATAGGAAGGAACAGATTTTGCATGTACATATAATTTTATATCATAGCATTAGGAGTATGGATCTAGTATCCATGGTCTTATATAGATCCCAGCCCATGGGTACCCAAACCGCAGTCCGTGGACTAGTACCAGACTGCAGCATGCCAGCAACGGTCCGCACAAACAAGCAAAGCCCCGTCCGTGGGATACAGGAAGCACACAAAACCATGTACCCTCCAATCTGCGGAAAAACCTCTCTCCATGGAACCAGTCCTTGGTGCCCAAAAGGTTGGGGAACTCTGTTTTAGACAATCTTTATTTAATGTTACTCAGAGCTGTGGAGTGATAATGAAAAGGAATAGATAGATATACTTCATCTTAATCCTCAAAACTATAAGTTATTTTCATCCTTGTTCAGGTTCATATAATACTAAAATTGCAATTGATGTTAATTGATATGATTACAGAAACCAGCAAGTGTTCTGTACAAACAGTACTATTTATAAAGGATGCTTCCTCAAAAATTAAATAATTTAAAACATGAAACAGCTGCATGGATTGCTATGCCAGGATTCTATGAAAAGAACTGATGTGATTTTTAAAAGAAGCTCTGGATTAAAAAAAACAACAACAGTGAAAAGCAAACTTAATTGGTCTCCAGGGAAACAGCAAGTCTTTATCTTGCATAGTTCATCAGTAGTTTAAACTTTTAATAATTTTTGATTAGAAAAATATATTTGACCCAGAATAGAAAAGAATGATATGATGCTTTACGTCATGTACTATAATTGTATATTTTAACATTGCATATCCTAAAGCATTTTAATATTGTTAGAGATTTGTTTGAAATTGTACATTAGTGTGTACAATTAAATAAATTTTAATTTTACAGTTTCTTCATCATGTTCAGTTTCCTATGATTCTCCTGCATTCAACAGCAACA